CACAATGTTTTTAAAAATATATTTGGACATTGAACTTGTGTATTTATAACATGTTAGTACATTTATGTGTTTCTTTATATGTATTATATAGGATAGTGAAACAAGTTATAAGGGCCTTCTAGAGTTGAAGATATAGAACTCAACAAAAGATAAAGTGTAACCTTTAAAGTTATACTATACCTTATTGAGCCATTTAGTATCAAATATGATAGCCAAATTCAATAAAAGTAGTGTTATGATAGGCATAAGTGTATGAAAGGATCACTGATCAAAATCTTGTTTTGAAAGCCTTGTATTGTTTACAGTCTTGAATGTTTCCTTCATTTTTGGAGACAAATAATGCTAGCCTAATATGTAACAAATTAAGAGCCCTGTCACCACACAAGTATTTGTAATTAATGAAAATATTAATTTTATGGCATATAAGGGCATAACCCTCCCTCACCCACAATTAAAGTTTCTCTACTTCAGGATTATATGAATATTCAGGCTGAGACTGACACAATGATCATTTTAACTAAGCAAAGTCTGGGGGATGTTTGTACGTTTACTCCTCTTTATTGACATAAAATTAGAGGGGTAATAATTTTCAGATCAGTATTTATTAGACTATGATGCTTCAGTAGCCAGTAAATGGAAATAATTGGACATTTTTCAGAGTTGAATAAATGTGTTGATTGCTACATTTGGACTATTTAAATTCCTTTTCTGTTAAAAAACAATCATGCTTGGAAAAAGTTTTAATATAATTAAACCCACATTGGTTATTCTATGTATGTTTATTCTTTTACTAATAATTGCTTAGATTTGGTACAGGAGAATTTCAATTCCAATGTCTAAAGACATTGAATGAAGGCACCCAGGTAATTTTTATTTATTCTTTCCCTTAAAATCATACTAATGGTCTTTATTTGGCCAAATAACTCTCCAGCTTTAATCGGTCATCACAGTGTTGTTTCAGATTTCATCTTAAATGTAATGGTAACTTAGCTGAAGAAATATTGGCAACTGCTAGGTGAGGAATAGCTGCTCTTCCTTTAAAATGAGGGACTCTAGATAAGCTGACTAAACCTCAGCAGATTAACTTGCACTGAGGAACGTCTGGCACAATAGGCCTTAACACAAAGGACAGAATGTATGAATTCCATTGCTGGGGCAATGGGAGGGTGCCAATTGGGAAGAGGATATAATGATGATTAATTGAGGAGATCCTAGCAGACAGCCTGAGAGGGTGGGTGCCGACCTCCATCCGTGTAGGGGCAGACCGCCGGAGAGTGCTGGGTTTTGGCCTCCCTCTGCCATAGGGGCTGAGAACACAGGGGACTCCCTGAAGAGTACCCTGGATCCTGCCTCCATGTGGTGGTGAGCTTCCCCTAATTATGTATACCCATCCCACTACCTGGAATTTCGTGAGGCCCCTCTCAAGGCCCCGGGGCAGATCTGGATTTGGTAGGCCAAGGCTGAGATCTAGCAACCAGCCTGAGAGGGGGGGCTCTGACCTCCATTGGTGTAGCTGCTCTGATCTCAGCAGACCACCAGAAAGTGCTGGGTTCTGGACTCCCTCTGGTATAGGGGCTGAGAATCAGGGTTCTGCCTGAGAGCCTACTATCCTGCCACCAAGTAGTGGTGAGCTTCCCCTAATTGCGCCATACCCATCCCCTTACCTGGGATTTTGTGAGCCCCCCTCCCAAGGCCCCAGGGCAGACCTGGATTTGGTAGGCCAAGGCTGAGATCCTAGCAGACAGCCTGAGAGGGTGGGCTCCAACCTCCATTGGTGTAGCAGCTGTGATCATAGCAGACTGCCAGAGAGTGCAGGGTTCTGGCCTCCCTCTGACATAGGGTCTGAGAACACTGTAGACCAACTGAGAGTCCCAAAATCAACCCCCCACCCCTTAGGGAATTTCCCAAATTTTCTCTGAATTTGTGTTAATAGGCGTCCAAACCTTAGAAAGAAGCCTTGAGTATACTTGACTGGAATCTGACTTGGCCTTCTGTGGGTACTCCTGAATAACTGATCTGAAGCCATCAGTTCCCTCCAAAGTAAAACCTGAGAGAACCTGAAACTTGTACCAACCAGCTTTACATAACCAATAAGGAAAGGACCTAGGTACCCAGATAATACAAACAGGCACATACTTCAGCTTAATTCTCATATCAGAATCATAAACAACAAAAGAAATTCACATGCCAGAATCACAACGAAAGAATAATAAAATGGAAAGCCAAAACACTGTGTCCCCACCAAAATCTGTAGAAGAGTTCTACAAGGAGAACCCCCTAGAGATAACCCAGGACGCTGAATTTAAAAGAACAATCATAACCATAATCAAGGAGTTCACTGAATTTAAAGAGCACACAGATAACCAAAGAACTAAAAATGATAGGGATAAACTTCTGAATGAATTCACAAAAGAGATGGAAACATTGAAGAAAACACAGGCAGAAATGAAGAAGGAAGTGCAAAACTCAATAAGCCACCTTGAAAGAACAGGGGAAAGCCTCACCGCTAGAATGAATGAAATGGAAAACAGAATATCAACATTGTAGGATGAAGTTGGAGAATTGGACCCCTCAAGCAAAGATTATGGAAAATTTAAAAATACACAGGAATGGAATATGCAAGGGATGTGGGACACCATTTAAAGACCAAATCTACGTATCATAGGAATAGAGGAGGGAGAAGAATTTCAGGTTAATAGTGTTGACCAGTTCCCCAAATTAAGGAAAGGCAATCCCATACAAATACAGGAAGCACATGGAACACCAAATAGACAGGACCAGAAAAGAAACTCCCAACGACATAGCATAGTAAAACAATAAATATACACAACAAAGAGAGAATACTGAAAGCAGCAAGAGAAAAACAAGTCACATACAGAGGAAAGCCCATCAGAATTACAGCTGACTTATCAATGAAAACTATGAAAACCAGAAGAGCCTTGGCCAAAGTATTTCCAGTTCTACATAACAATAGATGCCAGCCCAGAATACTTTACCCAGCAAAAATGTCTATTATAGTTGAGGGGGAAAGAAAAATCTTCCATGACACAAATAGCCTGAAAGAATACATGTCTGCAAAACCAGCCCTTCAAAGAATACTTGAAGCAATACAGAGAGCGGAGAGAGAAGCAGCTATACCCTGGGGCAATGAAAGAAAATAAATAAAGGTATAATTGAGGAAACACAAAGTTAGACTGAGAAAACAGCAATCAAAATGATGGCAACCAATACACATCTTTCAATAATAACTTTAAATATCAATTGACTGAACTATGCAGCCAAAAGACACAGGCTAAGTGGATGGATTAAGAAACAAAATCCTTATCTTTGCTGTCTACAAGAACCCCACCTCACCTTCCCATGATGTACTTCACAGAATTAAAAAAAAAACAAGCATCCTTAAATTCATATGGAAGCACAAAAGACCCCAGATAGCCAAAGCAACCCTGAGCATAAAGAGCAACACTGGAGGGATTAGTATACCAGATCTCAAAGTATACTACAGAGCTATAGTCATAAAAACAGCATGGTACTGACACACAAAAATAGACCCATAGATCAATGGACTATCATTGAAGACCCAAACCCAAGTACACACAATTTCAGCCACCTGATATTTGATAAAAGTGCCAAGGACAGTGGAGGAAAGACAGTGTTTCAACAAATGGGGCTGGCAAAACTGGATCTCCACCTGTAGAAGAATGAAACTAGATCCTGATCTTTCACCTTGCACAAAAGTGAACTCCAAATGGATCAAAGATCTCAATGTGAAACTGGAAACTCTGAAACTATTAGAAGAAAATATTGGCAGTAACTTACATGATGTAGGTGTAGGAAAGAATTTTTCCAAATGAGACAGAAGTTGCTCAGGAATTAAGGTCAGCAATCAACAAGTAGGACCTCATTAAACTAAAAAACTTCTGTACAGCAAAAGAAACAATTAAAAAAGTGAAGAGAAAACCCACAGAATGGGAAAAAATCTTCACCAGTGACACATCTGACTGAGGTTTAACATCCAGAATATATAAAGAACTCAAAAAACAAAGAATTGAGAAACCAAATGACCCAATTAAAAGATTGGCTAAAGATCTAAACAGGGAGTTCTCAAAGGAAGAAATAAAGATGGATAAGAAACATCTCAAAAAATGCCCAACATCATTAGTAATTAGGGAAATGCAAATTAAAACCATCCTAAGGTATCACCAACATACTAGACTTTTGCTTCTATGGCTTCTGTGGCTTGAACTCAAGTACCCAATGATCCATTTCCGCAGCCTCCAACTTACAGTTTTTATTCATACAGTTACAATAAGTCAAAACTTTGGAGAGCCTCATAAAGTGCTTTGTTCCAAGCAGCATCATTGTAATTTTTAAAATATACGTAAGGTAAGTCTAAGATACAGACTTAGATATTTGAACTCTTCTCTTCCAAACTGATTTAATACTTGAATTCTAGCTATCATTGTCTCCTATCAACATGCATTTAGTTTATGAATTGATAGTTTCTATGTGTATATAAACAATGTACATATATAATTAGTTATTTTCAGCTTTACTAGTCTGTTTAAAATAGTAAGTTTTGATTATCAGGTCACCAGTTGTAATGGTAGATCTGTTTTTACAAAGGTGATTTTAAAATTTTTGAGACTTCATTAAGTTTTAGTTAATGAATTATTTTATAAACTATCTTAAATTTGCTAAAATAATATACATTTATATATTTTTATTTATCATTTTCATTTTATGTGTGTGAGTGTATTGCTTGCATGGATGTGAGTACACCCATGTTGTGCAGTGCCATGGAGGTCAGAAGAGGGTGTCAGATTCCCCTGGAACTGGAGTTAAGGAGGGTTCGTAGCCACCATGTTGGTGCTTGGAATCGAACCTGGGTCCTCTGCAAGAACAGTTAGTGCTCTTAACCACTGAGCTATCTCTCCAGCCCCAATAATATACATGTTTTTAAGTACAGTTGACTAGCTCATCTTTTTCTTTGTGTGCAGTGGGAGATTTTGATAAGATCTGGCGAGAACACTGTGAAGATGAAGAAACACTTTGTGAATATGCTGTTGCAATGAAAAATTTGGCAGATAATCATTGGACAAAAGCTTGTGAAGGAGAAGGGCGCATTGAGTGGTGTTGTAGGTGAGTGTTTTTTATTTTTGATTTCTGATACGTTCTTTAAATTCTTCAGTGTAACACTGTTTAATTCATTATACCAAAATAGAAAACTAGAACTATTTTAAGAGCAATGTCTTTTAACATCCTCTTTTTTCTTTGTGTTTCATTTTCTCTAGATTTATTTCATTCATCTTTTCTCAGTCAAAATGATTTTCTTTCACATACTTAATTTTGCCCTAACTTTATAAAATAAATTTAAACCCTAAAATATTTAAAATAGATAGACTACTTCACTCACCCATAATAAATAATTTCCTTAGATAATACATTTGGATTTAGATAAAAAGTGAATTACTAAAAATTTAAAAGTATGATAACAATGTCAAAATCCTGAATTTTTGATGTGTGATTGGGGTTTTCTAGCACTTACATTGACTTTGAGTATTTATTTTCTCATAGTACAATTTCAGATATTAAAAAACCAGAAAATGAAATATTGCTGGTATCTTTGTGGTAAACTATGGAGAGATGTATATAATTGTGATCATGCATATTTCACTCATTCCACAAATAATTCCGAAAAAGCTTGTATTTAAGTTAATTATTGTGTTAAGATATTCAACTTATAAAAGGTTTGCTTTGGTTCCCTGTTTTGGAGCCCATAGTCCATTATCTGTTGGCTTCATTCTTCTGGGTTAAGCACATCATAATGGGAATATGTAGTGGACATAACCGCTTACCTCACAGTCAGAGAGACTCTCAAGTCCCAAGTTTCTCTCGGGGGCATGCCTTCAATGATATTACTTGTCACTAGGACTCACCTACTAAAGACTTCAGTGCCTTCCAGCAGCACGACATCAGAATTGTCACACATGAGCTTTTGAGGGACACTTAAGGATCAAACTGGGGGCTGGAGAAATGGCTTAGCAGTTAAGAAAGCACACTGCTCTTGGAGAAGACACAAGTTGGTTCCCAGCATCCATGCCTGGTGGCTCATAACCAACCTGTAACTCCAGCTCCAAGGGGATCCAATGCCTCTGGCCATTATGGGCACTGCCTTTACGTGTCTACATACTCCTATATAGATAAGCATACATATACATAATCAAAAATAATAAAAATATTTTTAAAAGTTTCAAACTGTAGAAGTTCTTTTATTTACTCATTCAACAATAATACTTCCAGTTTTCTTCTTTGTGCCAGTCATACTATAGACACTGGGAATACAAAATGAAGCCAATGAAATTCTTGTTTTTATGGAGTTTACATGCCAGTAGAGATGAAAGACAATGAAACCAAATACATTCATTGAAATATGGTAGCTCAGGACTGGGGAGATAGCTCAGTGGGCAAGACTGCTTGCTGTACAAGCATGAAGACCTGAGTTCGAGTCTCCAGCTCCCATGTTAACAAAATGCTGCATGTGGCTGTATATATGTGCCTGTAACCCCATTGCTGTGGGGAGAAGAGTGAGAATGGAGGATCACAGGGACTTGCTGGTTGCCAACCTAACTTCAGGTTCAATAAGAGACCCTATCTCAAGGGAAAAGGATGGGAGTGGTAGAGCTGAACACCTAACATCTTCCTTTGGCTTCTGCAGACATGCATATGGGTATGAGCATCCAACCAACACATATACATATACCATACATACATACACACACCCAAAATTGGTCAAATAACGCTAAGTGCTATGAGAAAAATAAAGCAGTTTTAAGTAGGGTAAGTAATGACATCTCTGAAGTGATACTTACCAAAGAAATGGAGAAGTTAGAGAAAATCAACACTCACAGGTCTAAAGCCTTGAGGCAGAAGCATACTGGCATGTTTCAGAAACAGGATGATTGCCTGGGTGTTCAGAGCAAGATCAGTGCAGGAGAGTTGTTGTAAACATGAACAGTTTCATTTGGTAAGATCTTGTAAACAATTGTAAAGGCACTGACATTTATTCTGAGTGAGATAAAAAGTCATTGGAGAGCGTACAAAAAGGAATTCTGTTTAGCCACAAATAAAAATGAAATCATAAAATGTGCCTGATGGATGAAACAGATGAATATTATATTAAATGAGGTAACACAGGCTCAAAAAGCATACGCTGCATGTTATCTTTCATATGTGGATCCTGTCCTCTAATTATTTATATAGAAGTGAGTGTTGATAGAGGTCATGAAATGAGAAAGGAGACAGTGAGAGAGAAAAAGGCTTTCAGGAAGGGGGTGAGGAAGATCGGAGAACATATGTGACATGGAAGTAGAAAGGAGACTGTTTGGGGCAGAAGGGTGCAAACATGAGAGGCTAGGCAAGGAGATGAGGGAAAGGAGAGGGCCAGGGAGGGATCATCAACCAAAACCAAGTACTATGAAAATGCCACTAAGAAACCTGTTACTTTGTATTTCAAACTAAAATTTTTAAAATTACATGAAACAGACAAAAAAAGTGACAGGATTTTAATAGGCTTTTGTAGTGTATCAAGAATTCTCAGGAATTAATCGTGCTAAAACTACAGTATAAGAGTGACAATATATTTACCTGATGAGGGAGACACCGTGATCAGGAAGGTGGTTTTCCAAGGGCAAGGCTCATCCATTACACTTGGGATATGCTGACCCCTGCGATTTCCCCAAATGCAGGAAACTAGACTACGTAATTTTGGTAGTGGGGGACTACATTCATGCTCTCCCTTAAAAAAACAAAAACAACAAAAAGAATGACAGAACAAAGAAGGAAACTAGCTAGAAGATTATTGCAATAATCAATGCATAAAGTCACAGATAAACAGTCTTCTTGAAGAGTGAGATAGTGCACGGGCAGCTCAGTGTACTAGAATTCATGTGCATAGATAGAATGACTCTAGAGGGCAAGGGAAGTTATGATAGGTATAGTGTGATGATTATGATAATAAGGAAACTGATATATGTGGTGGATGAGAATAGCGAGATGATAAGGGCAGTGGTCTGTGGGGTCAGAGAACTGTGGAGCTGGGGACATAAAAGACAGCCATAAAATAAGGAATGGGCTGCTGGGACGAAATGCTTAGTTTGTTTTCTTAGTTCCAGAGAGAAAATGGTTCTAACCTTGATAGTTCTACAGATTATATATTTCTCCCCCCAAACCAAGACATGAAAGAGATGTACTTACTAAGCTAAATATTTCCCTGGCAATCTGAAGTAACAGTGTAATCCAGTCATGACAGCAGTGCAATCACTGTTTCACGCTATGTTCTTTACTTTTAGTAGTACTGCTTTTAAATTAGTAATGCAGTCCAGAAGGCAAGACTTCAAACTTTTCTAAAATGGACTTTGATACGTGGTATTCTCATAGTAGCATTTGCATCTTCCAGTTGTTTAATGAGTCTGCCTTTCAGTTGCTCATCTTTCTTTTTCCTTGATTCTGGTTTTTTTTTTTTTTTCAAGAGTTGTTAAATCTGCATATGTTCTGAAAGAGGTCATTTTAAGATCAGACTGCTGACAAAAATTAAAAATTTAACTCCAATTCCTGAATAACACTGGCAAGGTACAAGATACAGTTACAAAGAAATTGAGCCTCACAGCAACACATGCTTGTAAAGCATAGCACTTACGATGCAGGATTGGAGGTTGCAAATTTGATACCTATGTAATGAGACCTGGACTCAAAGTGTATATGTAAGAGTGAGTGTATAGTGCCCTTCAGTTATATATAATTGTAAGAGAGCAGTATTGCTTCTGGTGTTAATGGGCACTTGGGCAATGTTTATTTTCATTTAGTTACACTTAAAACTTTATGGGAATTTGATGTGTGAAATCAGACTGACATTGCACTTGTAGATTTTGTTGGCTATTTATCTGGAAGAGTTCAATATAGGATTTCTTTTATAAGAATAATTAAATTTCATAGTTAATGAAATAAGAAAAATTACAGAAAACTATAATTTTAAGGTACAGCTCTAATTTCAATGGAGGGTGTGTTGACTTCACCCTCATTTCTAACCTCACACCAAGTTTAAACATGTGTGTGTGTGCGCGTGTGTGTGTGTGTGTGTGTGTGTGTGTGTACCCAAAGACATGTAAACAAACTCTTTCCTCAACTATTTGAAAGCAGTTAACAAATAGGATGTCATTTCATCCTTGGCTCCTATCTTCTAAGAATGAGGAAATTTTGCATAGTCATAGCACCATTATCTTTAAGACAATTAGCAAATAATTTCCTAAAAATATTTAGCTCATAAATTCAATTTTTTCTTACTATCCCAAGAATGTATCTTATAATTGTAAATTTTTTCAAAATGCAATTAGACTTTGATAGTTGAATCTCTCTAGGCTCTTGTTTTTTTTGTTTTTCATAGTACTGAGTTTTTGCACAAATGTCAGCTTTGTAGAAAACCTCACATACTATATTTTGTGATTGTTGACTAAAAGTGGCTGATAGCAGTTTTCAAATATTCCAGGTATCTTTATTGACTTTCCTTTTTTAGCATCTCATTCTACCAATTACTGAGTATCTTGTAACATATTATCTCAGTTTTTCTACAGTAATTGCTTAATTGTTTTCTCTATTTTGTCTACATATATTTATGGTAGTTACTTTAAGATCTCTGCTTATTTTAATATACAGTTTACCTATAGGTCTGTTTCTTTTGGTGATGGGCTGTTTATTCCTGCTTCATTGTATGTGGTGATTTTTTTTAAACTGACATTGTGTTTAAAAGAGATTGTTGTAGCTGGGAGTGGTGGCACATGCCTTTAATCCCAGCACTCGGGAGGCAGAGGCAGGCGGATCTCTGTGAGTTCAAGGCCAGCCTGGTCTATGTAGTGAGTTCCAGGACAGCTGGAGCTACAGGGAGACCCTGTTTCAAAAAGACCAAAAAAATAAAAAGAGAGATTGTTGTAAATATTTTTTCCCAGAAAGGTCATAATTTTTTTCTCTGAAGGGAGCGAGGCTAAGAAGGAACACTTTAATCCATCCGTGGTAGTTGGGCTGATTGGAGCTAGATTATCATCTTAGACATTTCACATTTGGCTTTAGATACTGTGAGAGTAAGTGAATGTTGTATGTATATTGGGGAACAACTCTTGCAGAATCCCGAGAAATTAGCCTAAGAAAGAGTGTAGAGATTTTTTTTTCTGCTTTTTCATTCCATTCTCTGGCTCTCAAGCTGCTGCTTCCCAGGAATCAGGAAGGAATTGTGGGACAATTATCTCTATATTTGGTTTCTTCAGAGAATACCCTGTCCACCAGCTAACCATCCTTTTAAAACCATGCTGCTTTAGAATCCCACTACGCTGGCAGGCCTAAACCTTTCTACTCAATAGCATTTCAACAAATGCCCCCACTGGACCTGCTCCCTTCTTATTTAGGAAAGACATGTCTTTCACAGTTTCTTTATCCCTTTGGGCCTTTATGCATTTTTGTTCCTCTTCCCTATTTTAATATATTTTAATGTCTTTAAAATATATATATTTTTAACTTTTGAGAGTTTCATACACGAATATTGTATTTGCATTTTTCCACCCCTCCCGCTCCCCCTCCAATTCCTCCCATCTCCCTCCCCAATTCCTCACACTTTCTTGTCTTCTTTGATCATTATTGTTATCTATACATACATGCATACATTTATAAATATACATATATATGTATATGTACACATGCACACACACATACTGCACTGAGTCCATTTAGTGGTGCTTATGCATGTCTGTGTTTAGGGCTGCTCACTTGGGATTACCTCACCGAGGGCTAGTCCCTGTAGAAAGCTGATTCTCCCCCCTCAACATCCATTGATAGCCTATGACTATCAATCTTGAGGTGAAACCTACTTTTGCAACTTTCTTAGACCAACATAACTCTCTTACTGTATTCTAAATATGTATCCTTATATTTGTAGACAAGTGTACCTCTCACCACTTATCAAAGAAACATTTTTGGAACAGATAGAGACTATTACAAAGTTCCACAGCAGTTCACAATAGAGAGAATAAAGGACTGTGAGGTGTCCAGTCCTAAGTGACTCATCTACAATACAATCTCTATACTCGGGGAACATTATGGAAGAGGGGACAGAAGGAATGGAAGAACCAGAGAGACAAGACAGCTGCTACATGACAGGGAAGCTACACTAATGATATCTCCGTAGTATGGTCGTCTAACAAGATCTTCATAATGACAAAATCAGTTGACATGCCAAGGTAGATGGAGGAAATGTCATGGGTCTTATAACTTTTTTAAAAAATACATTGTTTTTATATTGTGTAGCATTTTGTAATTATAGGAGTACTGTTGTAATTGTGTATCCTAATCTGAAACCAGCTTTGTTACCTGTGTTTAGGACTCATCTGAATGTTTCCTCTTGTTGTCATATTACTGCTTCCTCAATCTTAAACATTTCTTGTAAACTGAAAATTGGGTTGATAACATTGTTACAACTGAAAAACTTTGGCAGTAAAATCTTACTAGGTGTAATTCCATGCTTCATACCCATCATGTGAGTGGGTTCTTGTCAAATTATTCACATTTATAGTAAATGTTGTCATTTTGTTAAGGTGATACCTCTAGATTCTTTAATTAGGAACTTACATTTTATCTTTGTAGTTAACTAATAAGTGTGGAATGACATTTTGAATTGTTAATCAGTTCTGTCTTGTAATAGTTTTTAAATTTATTTCTGACTATTAAATATCACATTCACCATTGTATAATAATGACTTTTTTAAAAAGCTGTATCATTCCTTAGCACATGCTGACATTATTTTGTGATTCAGAGTTTTCCTTTATAAATAGAGCACAATTACTTGTTCTCTAGAATGGGTAAGATATGTATATATGTCATTCTTTCTGTTTACCAATTTCACAGTCAGTAATTGGTTATGACAATTACTATGTCATAACTTAATTATAATAACTTAGCCTTTTAAAACTTTTGGAATACATTCGTGGTCTCAGATTTTTACTTACTCCATCTTTTAGTCATTATTTTTTCTTTGATTTTGACTTTTTTTTCTCTCCCATTGGGTACTCATAGAATTCCATTTTTATCCAGTGGGAACCAAAGTTTGCTTCTGTGTTCTGCCATTTCTTTTGAGTACTTCCCTTCTATCCAGTACAAAATAAGCCTTTGCTTTCCCTGGCTAAGACCTACCCACAATCTATTAAACAGTCCTATGCTTTTTGAAAATGACAGGTAGTAATTTGAAAGTAAAATTTTGGTATGAGATGGGCTGCTGCATGTTCTTTCTTATTTATTTGTGTGTGTGTGTGTGTGTGTGTGAGAGAGAGAGAGAGAGAGAGAGAGAGA